GAATGAAAAAAAAAAAAATGCTGTTTGTAGCTTCTTATATTTATTTTCTAATACAGTAAAGTAATTACCTTTGACAAAATAAGACTTTTTCAGGTATTTTTTTACATCAATACTAAACTAAATAACAGGTTTTATTCATCAGCAATGCAAATAATCCTCAGCTGCAGTTCACTGTTTGCGATATATTAACGGCGTAACATGACTACACTGACTGTAAAGCGGAAAACACGTAACATTCAAGTCATGCAGCACACGTTCATTCAGGAAACCACCTTGTCATGTGTCGCGCTGCAGAAGTGTTGACCAGCTTAATGTCAGTGCTTTCGTGGTTTGGTCCTACACGGATGTCACAAATGGCTCGAAGTACTTCTACAACAGCAGGAAATCTTTAGAGTTACAGGCTGATAGAGACTCATCAGATGGTGTCTGTCCTGTCAGACAGCCACTCTTTCAAATCTGGAGCCTTTTTATATTTTAAAGACTCCAAATATTTCAGTCAGTGATTTAATGTTGAGTCATAAATGTTCATTTCAGTGTATTAGGGACCCTAGTAAGCATGCAACTTTTTCAAAAGCGCTACTGTGGCAGATTTTCAGCAGTTGCATTTTGCTGTCTGTGTCCATGAAAGCAAAGTGGTGCTTTCCCACATGTTGTAACACCAACGATTAGATGCTAATCTGAGCAGAGGATGTGTGAGTCAGATATTAAACATGACATTAGATTTTAAAAAATCCGTTAAGTCATGCAGGACTTGTTTGGTGAACTATAACTGTCCTTGGTTTCCCCCTTTTTTTAAATTTCTGTAATAAAAACACACAGACGGCAGTTAAAACAGGAATAAAGAAGTGTTTTTATTCATGAACCAGCACAGCAGACACAAGACTTGCATTGTAGGGAATTGAACACACCCAGTGTGGTTTCACATTAACAGAAAGGTGAGAAGTGAGTTTAGGTGACCATTTTTGTCTGATAGCAACTTGTCAGATGGATACAATGCCCATCATGTTAGTAAGTTATGAACTTAAATTAGATTTTTACTGTTTTTATGTGATTGTACAGTCAGTATCAGGGTGCACTCCACAGCCCTGTTTGGAGGAGCAGCAAAAATTATTTTCAGCCATCGAGCTGTATTTATTTTGGGGAGTTAGAGGAATTAGCATTTCCTCAACAATGAAAGATATTTTAATCACTGCAATGATTGATAGCATAAATCTGAGTTTTTCAGTTGATTGATGATCAAAATGCAGTTGCTCCAGCTGTTTATTTTCAAGGAATTTTTAACTTTTGTACATAACGATGACCACAGATGTCTAAGTTGACAATCGTTAAAAATTAAGTTGCTTCAATTAGATTTGCTTTGGTAGTTTTGAGTTTTTTCGTGTTTTTTGTCATGCAGTGCTTTTTAAAAAGTTAATTCATCTAACAACAACATTGGCTATTTGTTATTAGTTTTTTTCAGTGTGTATTTGAATACAGGTCATATTGCCTTGAGAAGTGTCACATCGAAACCTCCTTTTAATCATATTTGTTCAACCTCCCTGGCCTCTTACGCATCATAACTACTTAGAAGTAAAATCAAGTTATCAAGCCACTTTTATTAGGTTAGTACAAAATTTAAATCAATTGAAACAGAATTTTGAGTATAAATTACACACAATATTAGGTTTATGCAGTTACCAACATTTTTATGTCAATAAAACTCCTCATAATGTTGTTTGTTAAAAGGTTTGTCTAAATCAATAAGTTAGAATCTTTTTTTTTCTTTTCTAGCAACAACGCACTTAGTTAAGTTGGGAGGTCTGAGGTCTCAAGGGTATGACACCCTGTTCGGTGTAGCCTCTAAAGTGGTCGTTAAGCGACCTTGGACCGGTGGTAACCATCACCAAAGCCCGTTAGGGGGCGGAGTCTGTACGAAATAGAAATAGTAGCGTTTTTTTTCTTCTCCAATCCAATCAGCTATTTAATAATTTAGTATCTGCCAATACTCCTATCTATACCATCTTCCTCACTAATTGACACTTCAAGTATTTTAAATTAGCTGTAGTACGTGGTTGATCGTACTGTTGAATTCTGTGGCGACCAGAGGAGATGGACAGCTCCATGTTGGCAAGCAGAGAGCATTGTGGGAGCTAGTAAAGGAGCACCGTGACAGAGACTTAATGACCTCAGGCCAGCAAACACGTGTTAAATTAAGTTGGAATAAAGTCGGACAGTGATCCTGTACTTCAGTGGAACATCTTATTGCCATTTTCACTGCTTTATTTCCAGACAACAGAAGTAAACACAGAACCACGCAGAGGTTTGTGCCAATACTGATCACTTTAAACTTCACATGACCGGCCCTAAGCCTGATCCTAAAATCATCCCTCGTAGTGTTTATACATTCAGTTTCATAAGTACACAAGTAACCCTTTAACTTCAGGCCCTCTCTTGGTTGTCATTGCTGAGTTTCAAAGGGGGATGAGCACTGGGGTTTTATAGGGAAATGCACTGTTGGTCGCTTCCCCCTGACTGGGTGGTGATTACAAAGGTCTGCGTCAGGGTGCCAAGGTGGAGCCTCGCTAGGATTAACCAGCACAGAAGCCCATTAAAGAGCCGTACACGTATTCATAGAACTGAAGTACATCCAAGAACTAGTGTTTTTGCTCGTCACTGTTGCTGATGCACATGTGCGTCATAACAACCCTAAAGCCACAGAATCCTGCAGTATTCACACATTGCAACGGTTCAGTGGAGAAACACTGTTGATTCATCTGTCGGTTACTTTCTTGTTTGATGGATTAGTTGTTTGGTCAATAAAAAGTCAGAAAATGGTGAAAAATAATAACTTTATAATAATAATTGTGCATTTTATTTGTGTAGTACCTTTAAAGGTTGACAGAAAAGCCAAAAAATAAAGGACACTCAGAAGACAACATGAGAACAGAAACTCAGTCGGGCAAAACAGGTCGATGTGGATTTGACAGAGCCCAAGGTGACGTCTTCACGTGTTGTTTTGTTCACAAGTCAAAGATGTTCCGTTGATTTTAATAGAAGAGGAAAGAAACCAGAAAATATTTCTAAGTAGGGCTTTAGTTGATGTCTGCTTGAATGTCTAAAATCCACGAATGGTAATAACAGGATCCTAAACTCTATTTATTGAAGTCTTTAGCTGACTTTAACTATTTCAATCCATGACATGAAGCAAACATTTCATCCACTGCAATTTGATGTGTTTATTTGTTGTTTTAACTTCACCTTTTTCCTCCTAGTTCTTATCATTCTTCTTATTATCTTATAGCGATTTAAGGTTTGAACTCCTCTTCTGTTCAAACCGAGGCATTCGAGGGCTCTCAGTTCATTTTTAGAGGTCTATGCATGGATAAAGATAGGTTCTTGTTAAAGCCTGTTTGCCTTTCGGTAAAAAGGAAGGGAGAGGGTATTTTGCAGCTCTGCTCCCTCTGTCCCTCAGTTCAAAGACCGTATTTGTAAGCTTGCAAAGCGCTCCACAGCTGCGTATGTGCAGCGAAGGCAGAACCAGTTTTTTCACGATAACCCACCGCCACATCCTCGACTCCGTAACCGCAAACAGAGTGAAGGGTTTATTCACATCTGTGGGAAAATAAGCAACTGTAACACCCATCATACAGTAACTACTGTCATGGGATTCAGACTGAGCATTAAAGGACTCGTTTCAGAGCTTTTAATGGGAGAATTACATTTTCTCTAACGACGTGTCGACCTGCACATGCTGCTGGTGTGTCTGTAGGTGAACAGCGGTGAATGGAGAAGTACTTTGTGTGTTCTTCCTCAGTTAAAAATAGATTACAAATGCAGTTTTCCAGTTCCTTTTACTGTCAGATTCATGTCTTTCATTCATGCCGGCAGCTACATCACATGTGACCACACTGACTATTCACTGGGATGTGAAGTATTAGTGGTTTATTGGGATGAAATGTTCACAGTTCCTTATTGGTTAATGATCAGTTTTACAGGTTCTATTTTAGAGCTTTTATCTCACCTTTACAAATGTATTAATATTTGAAACTGTCTCTGCTTTACTGTTTATCTCTCATTGCTGCAGCCAGATACTCATTGTTTTCACTGCTTGGTAATAAAATATCTGAAAAATATTTCCAGATTACAAGGTTGCATTTTTAAATGTCTTGTTTTGTTTGATCAAGCTAAAAATATTCAGTTTATTATAGCAGAAGACAAATAAAACCCCCAAATATTCACATTTAACAGCTGTCATGTTGGTCATATTTGCATGAAGAATGATTTGCTTGTTAACTTTCTGGCAGTCAAGTCATTTCTTTAACTGACTTTTGGTTTCAGCTGTAACAGTACAGTGCATTTGAAGCACTCGAGCCCAATCAATGCTAGATTTTTGGGGGTAAAAAACAATTCCTGTATTGATATATTGGCATATATACACACTTTAGTTATATATTTCAGTAGTTTAGTTTGAAACTTACTGTGAAGACACCGCTTGACTCCGCACCACCTCTGCTACATGTGCTGCAGACAGTAAAAAACTGTTATGACAAAACTTCTAAACTGACCCAAGCCAATATCGGATGATAATTTTTGTAACTGATGTTTCAGTTGGGTTCGACTCTGAACTGCTGTTTGAAAGAACCGCATTCACCTGCTTGAAAGACGCTACGAATCCACTTTACTATAAATAAATCCCCAGAGCTCAACTTCACACTGAGGTCTTTTCATGGATTCTATTGATAAAATTACAAAACAACTTTTACAGGTCGTAAATATAGAAATGTTAGAAGAATGAACATTACAGTCTTAAAAGTGCATTTTGAAAACATCTTGTGACTTCCTAAAGACAAACCACAGCTGTCAAACATCAGTCTATAAACAGCGCTGCCATCTTATCAGCATTTTGACACGTTTTCAGCGAGTAGTTTCCTCCTCTCAAAGATCAGATTTTTTTTTTTTTTTGTGAAGACGCAACTGCTCGAGCGGAAATAAAAACTTGTAATCTTCGTCCCCCCCTGCAGAGGTGAGGCTCGTCGCGGACCCTCGTGTGATCGCTCTGCTTTTCTAAACATCTCCGACACTTCAGCTGCTCCTGATGGAAGCCAGAGGAAAGTACGATTTCGCTGCAACAGCGGACGACGAGCTTAGCTTCAGAAAGGGAGACATACTGAAGGTCGGTGTCTGATTAGATAATAAAACTGTTTGTTGCTTCCATCGCTCCTGCGTGACACCTTTTCTCTTCTCTTTCTGCCTCTGGACAGGTTTTAAGCCCACAGGACGAGTGGTGTAAGGCAGAAATGAACGGAATGGAGGGATACGTGCCGCAAAACTACATCGAAATAAATACTCCAATGTAAGATTAAAGCCTCTTAACAAGCAGTGAAAGCAGAAATGGTGTAATTTTAATAGGACGGCAGACAAAACACAACATTGAAATGCTGTAAAAGAGAAAAAAAAAACAAATATTTTACCAACTTTGTGCCTTTTTGGGTGAGAAGCACTTCCTATCTGACAAGACCAGAAGCAGGACTTAAATCAAAAGGGCTCTCCTGGAAGGTTTTATTCTAGCTTTGTCATTTTAGCAGCTCTGTCTGGCAGGTGTTTCTGCATTATGTGTGTTTTATGTCAGATGATGAGTTGTATCGTGGCCTTTTTGGGCAGGTGGTTCCAGGAGAACGCCAGTCGTAACGCTGCAGAGGAGCTGCTGAGGTACAAAAACGTGGGAGACTTTGTGATTCGAGGCTGCCAGAGTTCCCCCGGAGACTTTTCCATCTCTGTCAAGTGAGTCAAGCGGTGCGAAGTGCATCTAAAACTGTTGGAAGTTAGCTTTTTTCTAATTATCTTTGTTTTTCGTTTTGTTTTTCGCAATAACACTAAGTATCACAAACATAACAAGAAATATCACTTTAATATGCATTATAAGCAAATACAAAAGTCATGGGTTTCACAAAAATAAGTAAGATAAACAGAAGATAAATCTTTATCAGTCCCAGATGAAAATTAATTTGCCAAATAGTTCTGTATTACTCAGAAACCAAATTACAAAACACAAATAATGCAATGCCTTATAGAAAAGGATACAAGTATGATACATACTGGAAATAATAAAAATAAAAGAAGCAAACACGGTAAAATAAAAAGTAGGAGGTAATACTGTTAATGATTCAGAGGTAGTAAAGTAAGATATTCCACTTTACATAATCAGTAATCAAGCAACCATTGGATTTAAAAACAACAACAACAAAAACAACATGCAAACAAACTGGTTTGTGAGGCTGTATATAGGCTTTGAGCTAAAATGCTAACTGTAGCATGGTGACATACTGATGTTTGCTTGCTGATGTAGTTTGAACCCTTTATAGGCCACTCCTTGCAATACGTGAGAAATGAAAATTTCAACCCTAGGGTGTTATTGAAGAATATTTCAAGATATTTTTACTTTTGTGACTTAAAAAAAAAAATTGCAGATCAAGTTACCATATATGGTACCGTGCCTGTCTATGGTTAAAAACAAGAAGGGAATTTATAATCAATAACAAAAAAAGTAATAAACTGCAAAAGACATTTATTTAGAAACATTTTAGTTTGAGGTAATGACACTTACACAACCAGTAACAAAGGATTTATAAAGGCCTTGGCAAGTTCATTTAGTCACATTCTTCTTGGGGTAGCGGTATTGGCGCTAATCTCAAAAGATAATCAAAGGGCAGTTCAGCGCAAACCAGTAACAAAGCGTTTAGAAAGCACCTGGAACATTTGTTTAGTGACATTTTTCATAAGGTAGTGATACTGGCACTAATATAAAAACTAAATCAAAGTGCACAAAGTGGTTCTTCAACCTCAAGGAGAGGCACAGGGTGGACATATTGAACATCCAAGGAAGTTACCAAATATGCTCACTTGCCCCATTAAGGGTTAAAGGTAACTTTCAATTTGGTAGCTACAATATATTAAATTAAAACACAATATATTATACATAATACATTCGTGCACAACCCTAAACACTGTGTGTGTTGTGCAGTTTGGTTCCAACTATCCATCATGCCATATCTGTACATGTGAAAGGTATAAATAGTCTATTACTATTATCTTTATTAGTTTTATTGTTATCCTACTTTTGTAATTCTGTCTGGTTTCTTGCTGTGCTTCATTCTTATCAAGCTGCTGTGATGTGTGAATTTCCCCAGTGACAGATTATTAAAGTCTATCTTATCGTACTACCTAATGATTAATTGCAGTTTAGTCTCTCAGCACACTTTGAAACCTTATATAACAACTATGAAGTCACTGTTGCATTTACACTGGATCAGGTCCAGATCCGAAACGGATACACTTGGCCTTCAAATCTGGACCAAATAAAGACACACATTCAGGCTCATGAAAGCTAAATTAAAGGGCAGTTTTACTGTTTGGTTCACATTAGACCAGGACCAGATCCTAAACCACACATTTGGTTCATTAACTGCCATCCTCTGTTTCAGTTTTGCACTTTTAAGAGAAAGTTGACTTTCATTGAGGCAGCTTAATGAATATTTCTGTGGTGTTTTAATATCTGCCCGACACCAGATGCAATGAAGTCTGTACATAATACAAAATGTACTGTTTCACATCGCCCACAAGTAATCAGGTTTAAATTGAAAGCCACATTTTACAGACTTAACAGATCAGCATGTCTAGTGCACATTTCTACTGACACAGGAAAAGCCTTCTTGATCTCAAGGCCAATTTTTTTTTTTAAACTTTGACAACTTACCGAATTGTCTCCCAACATGTAAATGCAACACACCACACTTTCCAGAATGTAACTAGTTGTAAGAAAGGAATAATGGCAACAGAAAGGTTTTAAGTCATACTTTTTACCGGTTGCAGACTACTAATGCTTTCTAAGGCCACTCAGATATTAATAAATATCGACTAAATATAAATGAATCTAACTCTAAAAAAGTTTTTAACTGCTCTCCCTAGAATCACTAAATATGTGATTAATGTCATATATTTCAGAGCTGAAACAAATCAGATATTTTGTTATTTATGTAGCAGATTTATTCGTTTTTCAAGTAAAAAAATAAATGCTTGATAGTCTGTGATTCCAGCTTCTGTTTGTTAAATATCTTCGGATTTGGACAAAATAAGACTTTCTAAAACTTTGATCTCTTGGAATAATGTGCAGATTAATTAATAAAGAAAGTTGTCATTAGCTGTGGTGCTAAATTAGTTGAGCTTCGGAAGCCATTTGAAAGCAAATTAAAGACTTCCTGATAAACTCAGAGTGAACGACAAAGTTCTCTCTCATGTGTTGTGTTTAGAAAAAAGAGGAAGCTGAAGTTTGAAAGCTCTTAACAGCGAAAATTTCCTTCAGATTCTAATTTAAAATTCCCTGAAATTCTGTTTCTGTGGTGAAGAAGACTTCCTTGTTTTTGACCCAATGTTGTTAACTAATCCAGCAGACATAGGATTTTGTTCATGTTAATGTGTAACCGGTTAATCACACAATGCTGCTGTGATCTAGTTATGTTTACAGTTACTGAAAGTTGGTATAAAAATCTGACTTCTAAAACCCATTAACAGCTTTCAAAACCAACCAGGAGACTCCAGAACTAACATGATGAGGTTCATTGACAATATTAAACAATTTTAATTATCAAGAGAATCTTAAATAGCATAAAAGCACTTGTGCTTTCCACCTCGGACTTATATTGGAATTGTGTTTCATTTAGTGTTAATAGTAATAATATTTTTGCTGTTTTTCTTGTTTTTAAAGCACAGATGTGAAAAAATCAGTTCCACCAAGTGGCCTGATTTAACCGTCACACATGTTTCCCCCCCAACGCCCATCAGTGTTCACTACATCACTGGGTTTTAAAAACACATCAGCTCTGACTCATCATCTCACACTGTTTGCTGCAAACTCTGCAGGACTCTCATGTTTAAAACCAGGAGACATCTGCAGCACAAGATTCAGTTAATTTACTCTAACGTGTCCACTGTGTGTCAGACAGACTGTAGAGCTTATTCACATCTTGACTTGTTACAAAGGCTGTAAGTGATAAATCTGGTCTAATGAAGGAGGAGTTCACTTCAGCTGCTCTGATCAGCCTACTCGATCTGATGGGATCACATTGTCATATTTTCAGTTATTTCTCTGTTCAATGTCTGAAGTAAAAGGAGTTTTTCTGGTTTTAGTGGAAATACTCACCTCTATTTAAGCTGTTAGTCTTCTGTAACACCAACACCATGTTGTAGCATGTCTATGGGTGTTCAAAGTTACAATGTTGTGTAAGTATTTGTGCATATTTTTCACACTGAAATGTTTCAGATCATTAAAACAAATTTAAATAGAACACAACGATAACCCCAAAACACACAAAGTGCAGTTTTTGAATGATGATTTCATTTTTTGAAGGAATAATGCTGTCCAGCCCCACCTTGCCCGATGTGATAAAATACTTGCCCCCTTCACTACCAGTCTACCAAATGATTAAATTCATTTGGC